AATAATAGTGCTGCACCCTGTTGGTAATCCTTGTAACTTTAATGCTATTGAACATCATAGAACAGAACCAACTTGTTTAGTTGAAACAGCTGTTAAGATTCAATAATTCCATTTCTCATAAGGTTAACATGGGAAACTCCAGAGCCACTAGGGCGGAGCCCGAAAGGATTTTTGAAATAAGAATATGCCTATATGTTAATCGGGAATGTGAGCTATCATCATGCCAAATTTCAGCCAAATCCGACCAGTATTTTTCGCGTTCACTTGTCACAAACATACATCCATACATCCAAACTTTCTCATTTATAATATTAGTAGGATGAAAAAACTTTTTATTACAATCCATAGACATTTAATTGCTGAAATAATAACAACTCTATAATGTAACAGTATGAAACCAAACAAAAAAAGATACACTTTTATGACCTTGCTTAAGTTCATTAAATCTATTTCTGCTCCTGTAATTTTCCGATCTAAAACTCCATAAAGTCCAGCGGAACAAAATGTTGATTATTAATAAACAAGATTAGATGGAAAAATTAACTTAGTTCCTTCAGCAACATTCAACGCTGGTCCACCAATAAATTTGTTAGCTCCAAAATTATCTATTCCTAAAATTACAACCACATTCTTCCCCTAGTTTTTAAATACATATTTTGTTAGAACATCCACAAACCATCAAATATGATATTCCTCATAAAAGCATAAGATTAAGCTCTCTTGGGGTGAGGGGTTAATCATTAACGTACTCTAAAATTAGTGTTTGCTCAAACCAGAGGATTTATTTGATGAAAACCATCAATAAGATAAACGCTTTTGTATCGATACCAATGCAATTTATTTAGAAAGAATCATGAAAAAAACGATTATTTATATATGTGATAAGACTGATAAGTGTGGATTATATCTTGGTGCTAAATTAAATATAAGTAAAAGTTAAACTTCTGAAATACTCTTGTATGATCGATTAGCTTAAGACAGATAAGTCGGATTTAAGCGTGTATCTATATAATTAATACGCGAACACGAATTTTGTCGGTTGAACTCCTCCGCCATTTCTTAAACAAATTTTATCCATTGACGTCTCATTGGAATGAGCATGTCGCGTAGATTTGCAAACTGGCCTTACATTTTTGAAAAAGTCCCTTGGGCTCTGCCCCAGTGGCTTTTAGAGTTCCCATGTTATCCTCATGAAGATCATAATTGTTTACATTTTGATCAGCTGTATAATTTAATTGCTGTTATTTATTTTTCAATATTGTTGAAATTAAATATTTACTATTTTAATTTACATTCTTACATATTACAATGTAAAACATCGAGAAAGCCTGGTCAATTTAATATACAGGGTGGCGCAAATGGATTGGGTGGTTTTGAAGTGTACTGTACGTCTGGGAGGGGTTTAGCATTAGCCAGGTGTTTGGCGGTCTTCGTCCTGTGGTGGGGGGACGGGAAGTTTCAGTTGCAGACTGGCAGTCAGTCGCAATGGCTATGTGGTCCGTTGAGCATCTTGTTTTTGCTGTGGAAAAGTTTATACGCAATAACGAGTCAATTGCTGCTGTGACGCGTGCCTTTCGCCGGCGTTTCAACATCCCACCTCGCGGTAGTATTCCTAAGCGAGATACGATATTGAGTTGGGTGCATAATTTCCGCACTACTGGTTCATGTGCTGCAAAATGGACGCCTAGACCTTGAACAGTAAGAACACCTGAGAACGTGGAGCGTGTGAGACACAATGTCACTACGAGCCCACGTCGATCAACGAGACGTCGTGCTAAAGCTCTTGGAATGTCACGTCGGAGCCTTCAAAGGATTCTTAACAAAGAACTGAAATTCCACCACTATAAAATCATGGTGGTGAAAAAGATTCTCCCAACAGACCATCTTCAAAGGCTTCAGTTTAGCCAACGGATGTTGGAGTTATTGGAAGATGAAAACCTGATTATCATGATGTCTGATGAGGCTCACTTTCACATTAACGGCTACGTCAACAATCAAAATTGCCGTTACTGGGCCGACACTAACCCAAGAGACCTACACCAACGGCCTCTCCATAGTGACTAAGTTACAGTTTGGTGTGGGGTTTCTAAGGTAGGGATAATTGGGCCTTACTTTTTTGAAAATGAAAGGGAGCAGGCGGTTACTGTTAATTTGCAGCGTTATGTGAACATGATTGAAGAGTTTCTTCTCCCACAACTTGAAGTAGACAATTACGACATGTACAATATGTGGTTCCAACAAGACGGGGCAACTGCACATACCGCTAGGATATCAATGCAAGCTGTACGCGCTTTGTTCCCTGGCCGTTTGATTTCCCGTAATGGAGATATCCATTGGCCCCCTCGCTCACCGGACCTCACGCTATGTGACTTTTTCTTATGGGGCTATTTAAAAGCAAGGGCTACATGAACAAACCCCGGACCATTCAGGAGTTGAAGGCTGCAATTCACAACAAAATCACATCAATTCCTGGTGATGTGCTTGAGCGAGCAATGCGGAACCTCAAGGACCGACTCCAAGAATGCGTCGCTCGAGAAGTAAGGCATTTGAATTTTTAAAAACTAACTTAACTAATTTTTTGTTAATAAACTTCCGTTGTAACTACACGTTTTGCACTTTATTTCAATCCAATACCTTTAAAATTGACAGTTTAACAAGTATTTTAAAACCACCCGATCCATCTGCGCCACCCTGTATTTTACCAAATAAGAAAAATGAATTGACAGGGTACTGTAATTCTTGAGCAATCATTGAAAGAACCGATTTGTTAACCATGGAAACATAGGAAAGTCATAGAACGTCACCAAGTAGAAGAAATAGAGATAATACCCCCGCCACAACAAACCTTCAGATTAAGCGAATTTCCAATTGCCCGATTGGACTTGCACTAAAGTGTCTACTTAAAGATATAACATTCCCTATTTAAATAGAATTAGTTTAACAAGTACTTATGTTTGCTGCATCAGGGAGGGTAAAACTGTTTTTTTTTTTATGTTAATAGTTAGTAAGAAATAAAAACAAAAATTTTCTAAATTTGATCAAAATATGTTCATAAACAAGCAAACTACAACAGTTTACTTATTCTCCATAAGAATAACATGGGAATTATAAATTAAATTTTTTTTTTTAATTTTCTCCTTAACCAGGCACATAATAACTCTTCAATATACTAAATTATTTGTTTTTTTAAGCTCTACAAAATGGTTTGGAAAGAAATTGCTAAATTTTATGTTTTTTGGCTCTAAAATGGGAAAAACCTATTTTTAACCCATAAAACCCCCCTTAAGAGTCTTCTTCACCACTGCGAAAACAATAAAAACATGCCTTGGACATCCCTCGCTCCGGGTGGAATGTGTGAAGATATAATGTTAAAACTTTTTTCCCTTACAGATTAATGTTGGTTCTAGGGCCCTCATACATGATATATCCAAGAAAATCAATAATATAAGTACAAAAAAATCTTAAAGTAACGTAAATTGAGTCACTTTTAGACACTGATAAAATTAATTATTTTTTTCATTTTCAACCTTTTGAGGTATAAGAGCTCTAATACAACTATTCAATTACATTGATACCAAATTTCAAGAAAATCTGTTGAAAACCGGCCTCCGAAACGGGGGACGAAATTTACAAGTTTTGTCGGAGGCTACTTCGCTACTAGCCTTTTACAAAACTTGGCTCAGGCGGCAGATGAATCACCAACATGTCGATTTAGTAGTCGTGTGCTTATGATGTTTTCAGAATGGCGCGCGCATAATGACCCCGCGCTACCCGCCCGTCCTCAACACATTCCCCCCAAGGTCATATTCTAAAACGCAGGGTGATGAAGACTTTTAAACCCCCGTTCCCATAGTCCGATCATGCTGGTTCGCGAACTCGTTCAAATAAATGTAGGTTTACCAAATTACCAAATTTCATCAAAATCGGATCATTTTTGCTTGAGTGGCAGGCCTAACTGTTAAGTACTGTAGTTAGTTAAGCATATTAAAATTTGTTGAATAGCAATTTTTGACATAAAGTTGTTTGGTTTACCTGTAAATCTTTTATTTTCTGCACTTTTTGACCTTCAAACCTAATTTTTATGGTGAAAATGGCATTAGCTACAAATGTGCCACAGGGTAAAATTGCTTTTAATTTTACCCATTTCCGCCTTAAGACGGGCAGCGGCTGACATAACACGTCAGGTTACGAAAGACTAAAGACGGGCAGGGCCCATCCTGACGCATAATGCATTATTAAAATTACCTAGTTTTTACCATTTTTGGGAAAAACAGGAAATTTTGGGGGGAAAACAGCTATAAAATAAAGCCTTGCACGCACAGGCAGTTTAGTCTATGTGGACGGGCAAATGCAAGGTTAAAAGAGGCCACTAACCTCTTTTAAAAAAATGAGGTATTTTGTATATAAACAACCCAAACAATGTTTTTATGTAAGGAATTGAATACTATTTATGTATTTAACCAAGAAATAAATTGAAAAAATTTCAGGTTTGCTTTAAAAAAATATTTTTATACATAGGCTACATATTAAATAAAAACACATACATGTATTGAACATTGCTATAAAATATTTTATATTTAAAATTAGTGTCATATAAAATGAAATTGTATGTAGATCAATTTAAACACTTAAGTGTTAGGCATTTATTTCATAAATTAAAGTTTAAAAAAATTTGAATGTTATTTGTGGGTACTTCAAGAGCATGCTAGGTTTTTTCTCAACCAACTCCAAGTTTAACAATGAATGTATTTCTTGAGCTCATTGAAAGTAATGTCACTCCACTTTTGGAGTCTACGATGATGTTGCAATTTGCACATTCCATTTTCCACGATAAGCCATTGCCCAAAGAGTTCTTAATTTGTGTAATATTAATGAAACGTATTTGCAGTAGGTACTTTAAAGGTTTACATGGCAGGATCTTTTAACCAATTTTGTAGATTATCTAGCTATTACCAGTCCCAAAAGGGTCGGTTAACAGAGGGTGAACTGTAAAATAAAAATTTAAACAGCACGGTGATTGATTGTTTTATTACCATTTACAGAACTAGACCATAAAGTTTGGTTAAACTAGACATTAAATCAGAGATTTTCACGTTTTCTTACTAAGCCTCTTCATTGGTCGCAGGGCAGGTAGGTGATGGTTGTTGTCCTTGCTAATGTGTGTTGCTCCGCCCATGTATGTCTGCAGGGATGGAGGGATCAGCACGGAGCCATCACGCTGCTGATGCTGCTCAAACAGAGCAATTAGCAGCCTAGGCACAGCACACGCAGTGCCATTTACTGTGTGCACAAACCTGCAAGCAGAAATGATTTGGGGTATAATGTTATAAACCTGCCATCATGGATATGTATTGCACAAGAAATGACAAGCTGCATAAAAAATTAAAACTAAAATATTTTTCCATTGACATAACCAAATAAATTAACCTTGAACTTCATTCAGGCCCAACCTAATCATTGTCTTAAGGTAGCCATAATAATGGTCATTGGACTTTTTTCCGAAGCAATGGCAGATTCAAGGTACTTGTGGCCTCAGGGCCCTGCCTCTTAGGAACTTAATCGCAATCATAATGAAATTGTACACTCCTATGGTCACGGGGACATCATCATCGTCACTTGCTGTTGCAGCAAAATCGTAAACATCCTCCATGATCACAGAGACTTCATCATCTTCACCCAAAATCATTGCAAATTGATGATTTTAGAAGAAAAAAACAATTTAAAATATCCATAAGGTTCTGGCTAAGAAAATCTGCTATGTAGTTTCTACAGTGAGCCTTTTGGAACATGAAACTTAATTACATGTCCCCTTTTCTCAGTTAAATTCATAAATATTTTCCTTTCATAAATTAAAACTCCAGGCAAATGTATTCAATCAGCAGTATTAGCAACCAATTCACCATGTTCATGTTTTTAGTGTTTGGAAGGATATATTTAAGTAGTTGTAGTTAGTTAAATTAGTATAAATATAAATCAAAGCTGGCTAGGCAAGTGTCTGATAGGTAAAGGATCTCCGTCCCTCTGATCCCCAGCAATGTTCCTATAATTATTGGTAGCAGATTCAGCACGCTTAATTTATGTTTGGTCCAGATATAGCGATTCCCAACCCATTAGCATAACCTAATTATTCCGTCCATAATTCCCAAATTCCCACCAATATCCCCCAAGTATCATTCCTGCAATTTCCTTCTTCTTCCCCCCCCCCCCCCACCACCTGCATTTCGTTTATACTAATAGGTATTGTTTCAAAATACAGGGTGATTACAAATGAAATAGACAAACTGTGTACCTATTAAATTAAGTATAAACTGTCTATTTCATCTATTTGTGTCATCAGTTCACAACGCGTCTACCATTTTTCTCTCTAACTGTAGTATTCTCCATCTCTAAATGTAAATAAATGTACGTAAGTCCTAAAATTACAATAATAAACCAACTTAAGTAATTTTATTGTAACATCTTAAAAACAGAATAATACCTTCCATTGCTGCGTATATTCAGACGGCGGGATTGATAGTCAGTACAGTCACTGCAACTGGACAGCTGAAAATAAGGAGATAAGGTTTAGGTGGTTTATTTTATTTAAGCCTACCAGTCCAAACTTTGAAATTTCACCATAATACTATTTAACCATGATTTTCCATTAAAACCAAAAACCTTTGAAGTTAAGTCTTGCTGATGATTTTTTTCTAAGCAACAATTTTACTAATATCTGAATATCTGGTCTAATAAGACTTTTCATACTGTTAGCAAAAATCATTCATAGGCTAATACACCAACTCTTGCATGCACGAGCTGAGATGGATGTTCTTGAAATGAAAGAGTAAAATTTTACAAAAGACTTCTCCAAGGAAAAAAATATATTTTAACTAAGTATGCCTGATAAATATTGGTGATGGTTAACCTCAGCCCATATCTGCTTGGCTGGTAGCCATGCCTCAACATCGTACTTGCGGTAGGCCTGAGCCCCAAGCTCATGTGGTGGCATGTCCATGACTTGGAGGTCAAGTCCCAAGTCAGCAAAGTGATTCACTTGCCAGTCCCGGAACTGGTCCAACAGCTCACTCGATTGTTCTGGCTCACTCACTCCAAACATCTCAACTTTAGTGAATTGGTGCACCCTGAAATCATTACTTGACATTTTACAACAATACTTGTCATCCCTCACTCCTACAGTCAAGTGCTACTCTAATGAGATACAATAATCATTATTGACATCATTACTGAACTGGTCAGACTAAATATCCATATTCATTTAAGATGGGGATGCAACCTATATGCATATTTTAACCCAAATATGAGTGAAGAATGGAGTGTGATACCTTGTTTAGCTTTGTTACTGACTAAGACCAGCTGTTTCATTAGACAGGACCATTTATTGAAAGCCCAATGATCAAGGTTAGGCTAGCTGGGTCCAGTTTCGAACCATATTTATTTTATATCCCATGGTTTTATATTACCCTTGATTGAAATGTCTTTCTATAAAATAACTGGGTAGCTGAGTAGTTATAGTGCTTGCTAAAGTAATCAAAAGTTGCTGGTTCGATCTTGAGAAAGTTAGCATTTCATGGTTCGAAACTGGACCTATCTGTCCATGATCATTGGGCGTTCAATAAATTGTCCTAGCTAGTTGGTTGTAGACAGTAACAAAGCTACACAAGTCATCTTCTGTCATTCTGCACTCATCCTTCACTCATATTTGGGTTTTAATACACACCTAGCTGGCATTCCAATCTCAACTGGTAATGTCATACCACCCAAGAATAGCATGGTAAAGACCTGGTTTTGGAATCAAGTAACTCCATGCTCTGTAACGATCCAATAAACATACACAAAGAATAAAGTTATGTACTTGGTTGCCAAGTTGGTACAGAACTTGCCTCACAATCATAAGGTTCAATGCCGTTCATTGAGTTCTTTACAATTTATTTTGACAGAAAAACTGTATAAGCAATATGAATAAAATATTGGCGATAAAAGAAATAAAGGGAGGTTATTTTACTGACAAAAATACAAAAAGAGGCATTTTCTTTGGTATCATTATTCTTTAATATCTTCTTTGGTATCATGTAGGAGAAAATACACAAATAAACATAGTTTTTTCGGAGCTACTACTAGCTCCTTCTTCATCAGCAGAGATCACCCATTAATGTCATTACTTTAATAGGAGGGTCGTTTGAAAATTTAAAGTCTCCATTGAGTCTTGTCATAGTAGCAAATCTGAATATGAGAAAGAAAATTGATGCTCCCGTCAAATACGAATCACCTTCTGTGATTGTCTGCAGAAAAGGGGATTGTGGGGGGGGGGGGGGGATTGATTGGCTTAACTGTTGCCAGTAGACAGAGGGGTATGCAGAAAAGTGTTGTTTTGATGTAGAATATGAGCATAGTCGCCTAGGGAGATTACAGAAGGCACATTTGCTAACATAGGTCAGCAGTGGGTGTTTATATTTTTCTATCAAGGTATCAGGTTTAGGGCACCAATTTGTAGGAAATTATTAATATGACAGATTAATAAATCCTATTAGACTTGACTTGACCGTTTTATTTAGGCCCGGTTTCCCCAAAATGGGGTAAACTTTGTTTATAATAAGCTAGTTTATTTTTAAACTCCGTTTAAAATGTATGTTCGGTTTCTCCAACATTTTACTGGCTTCGTTTAAGATAAACAGCGATTCGAGCCGTTGGCAATCCTGGATGTGTACGGTATTTGTGAGGAATCGTCGGTGGGCTAGTGTTTCCTACAACGCTACAACTCAGTGGAGCAGACGGCAAAGTGCGAATGTAAACAATGCAGCTAAACTAACGTCAACATCACTGTTTAAGGTTGTGTTATAAAGTTGATTTTTTTTATAACAAGAATTATTTTAGTAGGTCCTCTTGTTCTAGGTACTAAAATGGCATAAGCTTCATCTTCTACTCCTTCAAAAATTTAAATTAATTCTTCCATTTGAGTTACGGCACTGCAATTAATAGTAGCCTAACTTAAAAATACTTAAAACAATTTAAATGTACAAATAAAAAAAACTTAATAAACACGATAAATAAAAAAATAAAACTTATCTTAGGCCTTTACAATATAAGCTAGCCCTAAGTCAAGCCTATTTTCGTCAAAATGAATTTGTAGTTGCTTCAATTATTATTGTTATAACACCTATTTTGTACTTTTTGTTTGGAATTATTTGAGGTTATGTTACTTTTGTAATTACTAATTTGAACTCAGTTTATTTTATCCCTAAACCAAGTAGTGGTTTAAACTTAGATTAATACCTAGTTTAAATTTGAGGAAACACAAATCTAAATTAAACTAAGTTTAAATCACCGTTTAACTTAAAACTAAGTTTAAATGATTTGGTGAAACCGGGACTTGCACAAATAAAAACATTCCAAATAACAATCAATTAAACCATAGGTTATAAAACAAAATATGTACAGATTAGATAGTCAAGTAAAGAAAGATAGACGAAAGACAACTAATTTTCAGTAACAGACTTGGACAGTTTATTAGTTTTAAGGAAACTTGCTTTTCGGATTTCCAGAGGGCTGACCTCATTTCTTAATGGGCTGATAGGGACGTTCTATATTCCCCAACCAAAAATTCCCACGAATTCCCCTAACTTTGGTCAGTACTTCAAACGAGACTGATGAACAACAGCTGTCGACCTACACTCAGGGGCGGATCCAGGACGGGTTCTCGGGGGCCATTGTCTGATATGTTTAGCTGTTCAGATTCTCTATGTCCAAACACCTGTCAACTAGCTATAGACTAACAGTTGACAACTAAGACCACAAATACAATCACAAAAAGCAATTTATACCAAGGATACACAAAAAAAAAATGATCACGGACCAAAATAATCAATTTTTAGATTATGATAGCATTTGAAAGAAGTAAGAGTATTTTTCATTAAAATATTTGGTTTTACAATACCTTTATCAGTTCCAAAAGTAACTTTCGTCAATGTGTGTCAGCGTGTATTTTTAACACGCTACTGCAACAAGGAAACAAATCTGATCAGCTGACCACAACTGATAATGAAGATAATTCAACCAGATAGCGCTGACTTGAACCCTCCACCGACAGTCTGTTCCCGCTCGTGTACCGGCAATGTTGCATATTCATGATAGGCCTATCAAACTACAAGTATTTATTTTTATTTTTATGTCGTACGTGTCGTATGTAAATGTTGTATGTCGTGTAATGTGTTGTGAGAGCTATTCAAGCGGATCTACATCTTCCTGTATTGAAGTGTTTGACAATGGCAGCTCGCCGAAACATGTAACACACGTTGATGAAAGTTACTTTTGGAACTGATAAAGGTATTGTAAAACCAAATATTTTATATATTACAGTTCCGGGGCTACAACAATGAATTTTATTTTTCATTGTTTTGTTCTATTCTGAAGGAGGGAGATCTTATATGTATTTCATGTACTTAGTAGTGTATAATGTAGTGTTGTATATGTGGCAGCCCTGTCTTGGAGAATACACACTCTTCCCCCCTCAAGATGTCTACTTAATGCAGATCCTAAACACCCCTAGCATAATCTATTATAATCTAAATATTATAATGATATAGATCTATAACACATTTTTCAATGAATATTCGATCAGGGTCCTCGTAACTCACATTTGGAATATTAGTACACAGAGAAGTAACAATCAGGATCACCAGCGATGTAAAGGCGGGTCCACACGCAAGAATTTCGCAAACGTTTTATCTGTGCAGATAAAGTCGTTGCAAAGAAATGTGTCCATACGGTACAGGTTTCAGCACAAACTTTTAGTGTAATTTTGTGATTACTTTCAGTGTATGTGCATGTAATATAGATGTGTTACTGTGGTCGATTTCTGTAGCCAGTGTTACAAGAAAGCAAAGAAATAAGTCTGAGCGACGACGACATTCACTATGGTCAAGACGTTGGTTACTAAAAAGACAACCAATTTCATAATAGTTTCTCTGTTCACGTTCGAATCTACTGCTTTGTATTTTTCAAAAGTCTCTAAGTCTTTTTCTTATCATAGTCACTATGTTCCTTACCCTTGACCCTCCATAAATAAGGAAAACGTCTGTACAGTTCGATGAATTCATCAGTAAAATAACGGGAACATTGGCGAAGATCTGCCATCATAATTAAAAAACACACTTACACCTCTGACAGCACGTGAATACAACACTGCATACTGGGGTTTTGAACGTGAAGACGGAGTTGAAACAGATGACAGTGTACACATGCAACAACTTGTCTGAAAATGTTGTCAAAACTATGCTCTCCGCAATAGTTTTATCGCTCCGTCGTCCGTCCCCGCGCAGTTCTAAAAAATGCACAGTTTTGCAGTACACATGCAACGATTTGACTGCAATTATTTACTTACGCAGGTAAAACGTATGGAACGTATGGCTATCAAACGTATGGAAGTCCTTCCGTGTAGACTGGCCTTAAAGAAAAAAAATAAACCCTTTGTCACCTCATTAACAAACAGTTGTCTATTAATCACCTAACTAAAAATTCCCCTAATTGACTGTTTCTTTACAAATTTTGGTTTCCCCTGGGTTGGAAGAACAAAGTGAATAAAAATATTTCAGCAGAACGATGGCAGTGGAAGCTTTATGTTAAATAAAAATTTGGTGGGCCCTGTGGAATAAAATTATCCCCAGAAGTCCTTATGGGACGGTCTTGGTACTGTTTGATTTCTTCCAAATGCTGAAACAATCTTAAAACTACACTGACTCTACTTTTGCACACTACCCACGCTAAATAGTGTTGTACTCAAGTTATCTCTTTTGAAGTGGCCAATTTATAATTAATTTTTATAAAAACCTTTTCTTGTATTTGTATGAAATTACACTAATACCAGAGCTGAGCTAACAAAGGCAAAAGAGGACCAGCAAGTGATCAACAATTCTTAATATAATATTTGAAAGGTGAACAATCAACAATGGTTTCTGGGCAGTTAATTAAATGTTGGGTTGTAACCAATATCAATTTGCCATTGAGAGACTGTTTCTCAGAACCTTTCCTTTACTTATTTAGGCTATTGAAATGATATGCAGATTTGAGAATGAGATGGATTTTTTTAACAGAGAAGTATCGGACAGAGTCCGAATGTCGCCATCAGCTGTTCAGTGCTCAAGTCCAGAACTGGCACGATCGTAACTCTAGTGCAGTCAGTCTGATGTGTTGGTGCGTTGGTCTTTTATATGAATGTTTGTTTATTTGCTTAAAAGTGTTTTACGATTATTTCTTGTGGCCCTGAGGGATGAAAGTGAGTGAAGATGCGAGTCTTATAGAGAGAATGTCTCCATTAAAAAGCGGAAATATGGAAGTATGTTCGAAGCCTAAAAAAACAGAGAAATTCAACCTACAAAACTGACTTTGAATGTCACTGTACTCGCTACAAATGTTTTGAAAAGGTTACACAAGAAGAGAGGTGAGCCTTAATTTGACAATTTAATGATTTAGCAGATAGGAATGTCCAAAATGTGTACTTATCAGGTATGGTTAGTGTTAAGATGATTAAGCGTAGACAAATAAATAAAATAAATATTTTTTTATATTTCAGATTAAAGGCTTGGATTAAAAGAATTATGTAACAATACCGTTCCCAAGCTTGTGCTTAGCAAGTTAAACTTCAAACATTGATAGGTGCTTTTCGTTTTTGCAATAACTTTTATACAGTACATCATTTAATTTGTACATAATTTATTAAAAACAAATTTTATTTTGTAATAATATGTTAATATTTAGAGATTTTACCATTCCAAGGTTAGACTCTTTGGAAAATTGGTTTTCATTCTATTAGATTAAATCCAGAGTTATAAGGATCAGAGTCCATGAAATGATACAATTAAACATTTTTTAGGGGTATATTATTTCATGTAAAATAACTTCTTGATCAGCAACCAACAAAAATCCCCATGAACTTAAATAAAGTTCATGTAATTTACTTTATTTTTACAAACAGATAGTAAGTACTACAAAGTGATACATATACATAAGTAAAATTAAAACTAATAGGTAGTTAAGTCAGTAGGCCTATATCGTTTTAAACTTTTAAAATGCTCTCCTAAAAAATATTGGACTTTGATAATTCGTTCTGTTTACCCTTCATTGGCAAGATCAATTTTCAATTTGGTCAATTTTCTTTCTCAATGTTTTTGAATATTATGACTAACTTAATAGTCCCATACGGATGGGACCCAGCTACAATAGTAGTGAATGAAGTAAGGTCCCAGATTAGATTTAGCTCACTTGGCTATAACAGGAGCTCGATGAAGACCCTACTGCTACTTTAGGGGAGTTTTGGTTTTAAATAACGTTCAAATCCTATTGGATGAGTTAGGCTAAAAATATAATAATAGTTAATATAGATGTATTAAAATGATTAATTATTTAGATTAATAATACCAGGGGTGCCCATCCCCATCAACTTATATGTATGAAAACTATTTTTTGCAATCATTGCCATTATTTGACCTTCACCAGGGGACGGCCCACGAGGAGTAGGTACATAATCTTTAATGTAAGCATAGGTTGATATGCACATCATTTTAAAGGTCTGGTCAAGTGGAGTTCATTGCCGAAAACCGTGTCAAAAAAGGTTCATCTGTTACAAAATGGCGGCAGTTCAAAGTTGTTGCGGAATATACCTGCAGAGGCCTTAGTATTGGTAAATACTCATAGTCAACATTAGCAGGGAAATCTGAAACCCGGTTAAATTTGTTTTGAAGATTGAATACTATTATTCTATGAGCTAGTTGACTTTAAAATACAGTTTAAGCTCTCAAACTAATGTTTAATACGAGGATTTGCCCATACTAAGGCCTGTGCAGGTATATTTCACAAGAACTTTGGACAGCTGCCATTTTGTAACGGATGAACCTTTTTGGACGCGGTTTCCGGCAATGAACTCCACTTGACCAGACCTTTAAAATGATGTGCATATCAACCTATGCTTACATTAAAGATTATGTACCTACTCCTCGTGGGCCGTCCCCTGGTGAAGGTCAAATAATGGCAATGATTGCAAAAAGTAGTTTTCATACATATAATTTGATGTAAAATGTTTGAATTTTCTAACGAATTTAGTTAAAAAGATATTAAACCGTTTCCAGACTTTTTTGTCACCCTGTATATGAAATTACGAACAGCTGTTTTGATAAAGATTCTTTTCCTAGCTGTCACTGATATGTTTACATAAATGTTCTTTAAGAATACTGTGTAGGCCCTAACCATTTCCGATCACGTTTGTAAGCAAGTCCAAAACCAAGTGAGATTAATAACCGTGTGGCTTTGGCTTACATAACGGGTTTGATTTATCACGAGTACTATATGTAACTGTAAATTAAATTAAATAACTAGCCATCATCCAGGTCGGGAACCAGAGATTCTGTGTGTATCAAGTTGTACTTGAATTTGATTACAGGGAAAAGACCGTGAATCAGTGTACAGGACTGGAAAACTTATCTTTCTATATAAATAAAATTAGAGTTTTATAAGTCACCTCAATTTAAGGAATTTTTTATTGCCAGAATATCCATAACGAATTGTCAGCGTCTTTCTCGATATAACGATCCCCTCTCCCTCCCTTTAGAAACATCACAGCTTCTTTGATGAAAATGAAATGGAAACAACGCTTGCGCCAACAATCGTCTGCTCCGTTATACACTTCTGTCTGCTGTGCGCTATGTTACAACAGATTTCAGATACAACAGCTGGGGAATGATGACGATATAATGCTTAGTACACTGTGATTGAGTGATAACCATGGTAACTTTAGTAAGGCTGTGATTGGCCAATGAGTAGGCCTAAATATGGCGACTTGTTGAATTTGTGTATGTATTGAAGAGAAACCTATTAATGAACAGAAGAACAAAGAAAGAGAATAACAAGATTGTTCTCGTTACATTCTTTTTTAAGAGTGTTTTAATTATCTCTAAATATAATTTTACACTTTTTTATTACTTATCTATCAATTCCTATGCTGTGATACAGCATCGGTAGCCTATCTGTCTATCATGAGCAGTACCTTATAACACACTTTCTAAAGGTTCCTTTAATATTTACGTTATTTATAGCAATGTAATGTTTGGCTAGTGATTAGTTGAGTTTGAGTTAGCTACAATTTTAAACGTTGCCGTTTGTACAACTGAACCAAGATAAATGATTTGAAATTTACAATAATAATGATTGTGCAATATTGAATTTCGTTTATAAAAATGTAAATCGTGACTTAATGGCTGTTTACAGCGTTTTAATGAGTTTGTCATCTGTTTTTATACTATATTGGATTAACCTATTTTTCATTCCCCCCCTCTCCCTATTAACTCAGGTAATCGAGTATACACAATAGTGTAAAGTATTGTAGCCTATACTACTTGCTACTTGATTGTATTTTAACGAGCTTTATGTCAACAAAGCGTTCTGCTGTGTGGTGTAGCTGGACGTGTCTGTACCACGCGTTATCTTTTATCTATCACAGCAGTTGAGCTATCCCGTGCGCTCCCTCGCTTAGATCTCACGTCTTGCTAATCTTAAATAATAACTTTCTACACGAATCCTAAACTATCCTAAAATCCTATTTTAACTAATTTAATTCAATAATATAACTATTGTCATTAATTATCCACTTTCTATCTGGCGATTTCGTAATGTATTTTGGATTTTCGTCATGTTGAACACTGTTGCAATTAACTTTAGCCCCCCCCCATTTGAATTTGTTGAGCCCCCCCCCAAGAATTTCAATGACGCAGTCTGCGTCACGGCCCCCCCTTGTGGGCACCCCTGATAATACAGATAATTTAAATGAATGTAGGCCTAAACTGTGTAATAAAATAAAATATTGATTAGTAAAATGTTGTTCTTTTGATTTGGTTACCATTATGAACACACACCTGTATATGCCTCTCTCTTCAGAGGTACTAGAGGTCTCTGCTCGGTAACATCTGCTGACTGCCACAAGTCGCAAAGGGAGTTGAGAGGGGTGTATCTCATTGTTCATCAAATACGCAGCCAATGCCATCTCGGCAGTTCCTGACAAGCATTTGTCACTTCCGTGAACAGAGCTTAAACTGTATACCTACAAAAATAACAAAGAATAAATTTATAGTTTTAACATTTATTTTAGTAAAAGTATAAATGTTCGTGATTAAATGGTAAATGGACCAATGGTAAATAAATCATAAAGCTAAACACAGTTTTGCTATCAAGGAAGATTTAACTTCAACCCAAACATGGGAAATAATAGATACATTGTAAATTTGTCAACCGACACTATTGCAACCTGCCAGCCAATTAAAAGAAAATCAAATATCGTTTGATACAAACTGGACATCTCCTTGGGGAAAGTTTGGCAAGAACCCTAATTACATTAAAGAAAAAAACGTTCACTAAGTTACTTGTACCAGTACAGATCACCAATAGGCTATAGGCCTATCATTTATTAGTATATCTATTAGGCCTACATAGAAAAAGAAAATATTGATATACAAAAAGGTACCTACTTTGGTATTATACCGTCCCCACTTAATAATTATAACCTAACCTAAGGGTCCTGGACTAAGTTATGTTTTAGGTTGAATTAGGTTTGGAAGATTTTGCTATTTAAACTAGGCTACTGTAATTAAAATCTTATTTGGAAGGTGTTTTAGGCCCCTATTAGACGAGGTAGCCTGGCTACGTCGCCAGCGACCAAACTGGCTACTCAGCTTGTCAAGGGTCATTGATTCTTATGGATGTTATTACACGAGGGTAGCCAGCGACGCAGCCACACTTTGGCGACCGACTGGCTACCGAGCCCTATCGCCACTGCGGTAGCCACTGGCTACCCATATTGGCGACGCTGCGTTGTAGCATATGGAGCTTAACTTATTACACTAGGTCGCCAGTATCACGTCGCCACTCGGTCAGTTCATATCACGGGGGTACTTGTACACTGTTGTGTTGCGTTCTGTTGTGTTGTGAGTGGGTGAATTGTTCACTTCAGTTGATAAAATGTCTACAACTGATTCAGTCGAAGGGATACGCAAAGATATGAAGAAAAAAGAAGAACCTCCGAAAGGCGAACAATAGAAAGAATCAAAGAAAAAGCAAGAAGAGCTGCCGATAGGCGATCAAAAGAAAGAATCAAATAAAAAGCAAAAAGGGCTCATGAAAAAGTGTCAGAAGGAGAAGATACTTATAATCACTCATTATTCACTAAACATACCGCTCATAACAAGTACAAGTACAAGACAAGCACTCAAAACAAAATGAGTAACGGTGGTAAAATTCTATTTACTTAACTGGCTACTAGGTTTGGTGGCCAGCGACAGTAGCTGGCCAGTGTGTCGCCAGCTACTGTCGCTGGCGACATCACCAGGCTACATCATCTAATAGGGGCCTTATCAGTGTGGTCGGTATAATACCAAAGTGGGCATACTGTACCAAAAAAAAAATCTATAATATGTTAACGTATGTTCTAATCTAGGATGGTGCACCTTTTTGGTACCTTATTCAAGTGAGGGGAGGTTTAGTTAACACGTTCGCGGTGGCATGGGAGCGATCGCTCCCACACGGAACCCTAATACCATCCTGGTGGGTGCGTCCGCTCCCAAGCTGCAATGCAGTACGAAATGATTTATTTTTAAGCCAGGATTAGAGCTAGAAACTTGAAACCTCGCACAGCACTGCTCAATAGTATACTGTATTTTGTTAAAACGTTTTTATTACAGTAGCTCGCTTTCTTGTCCAGTACAAATTTTGCAATCAATTTTATACTAACTTCCCGATTAGCTAGAGACTTGAAACTTGAAACATAGCTCACAAATGGAAGACAATGCAATATTATATCATTTGATTTTCATATTTCCCTTGGGCTACGCCCCATGGGCTTGTTTTTATTAACTCGCTTTCTTGCAAATTTTGATACTTCCCGATGAGCTAGAGACTTGAAACTTGAAACATAGCTTACAAATGGATGGCAATGCAATATTATATCATTTGATTTTCATATTTCCCTTGGGCTACGCCCCATGGGCTTGTTTTAATTAGCTCGTTTTCCTACAAATTTTGATATCAATTTCAAACAAAGTTCCTGGTGAGCTAGAGACTTGAAATTTGAAACATAGCTCTCAAATGGATGACAATGCAATATTATATCATTTAATTTTCATATTTCCCTTGGGCTACGCCCCATGGGCTTCCAAATATTTCATGTTTACATTTTGAAAGAATGTAAATATATCAATTAATTTCAGTCAGCTGTAAGTACTTAAATTTGACAGTTCGAAGAGCAGAGGTTAAGAGGTACGGTACAGGTTATGCTCACAAGAGATTCTTTATACAAACAAACATTTCAAAATAAAGATAAACAATCTGATTACATATATAATGGTGTTTGTTAATAATGTCAATTGTTATTTATATAGTATTCTATAAAGTAAACAATAAATCAAATAGATTGAATTATTTCTAGTTCGTAGGTAGCAAGGCCCCACTAGAAAAAAGGTAGGCCATACATTCAATGTAATACATAATTATATGAAAAGAAACTCAAATAAGCCTTAGATTTCCCACATGCAGCATGTCCACACTCTGGAAAGTCAGGGATAGTCATAAAAAATCATGGAAAAAAATGCTGGTCATTGAAAGTCATGGAAATAGGCAAAAGGTCATGGAAAGTCATGGAAATCCCCAATAATGGATGGATTTGACAGGACTTAATGCTCTAGTCGGCCGCTATTGTAGCATTTTTCTGAATTTTACATAAATTCACAACAATTAAATTTATTACAGCTTACAACACATATACTATTACAACTCAAATTGCAATACAAATATTGTTATAATGTTTTGATTTGTCTTAAGTTATTTCTATTTTGTTAACCTAATTTTTTGAAACACTGTAAACTCAATAAAAAATTAATAATAAAAAGTATACAGTAAGGAAAAAAGAAAGAGTAGAGAGAACTAACCAGCTACCTATGGGGACGGAGTAGACTGCGTTTTTTTTCCTTCCATATTTTGAATAGGCCTACCATATTATTTATTACAAAATTTATTACTCTATTGTTATCTGTTAATACACATTTTTAAGTATTTTCTGTGAAATAACTTGTCTAGGCAGTATTTTGTGTGTATTATAATTTTTGAGTAAAGTTCGTGAGTCATGGAAATTGATAGTAAATGGTCATGGATAGTCATGGAAAGTCATGGAAATCAATGAAAAATTTTCTGTGGACACCCTGCACATGCCTCTGTGTTAATCTGATATAGATTCTTGAAATAGATTTAAGATCCACACACATTAAAAACTAAAAAGTAGAAAATAATTTACAAATAAAAAACTGTTTTAAAACAAAACGTTTTTAAACGCACTAAAAAGTATAAAATAATTTATAAGTGGAGAGTATAAATACTTGTAAGATTTAAAACGAAAAACGTGGGGTGCATGCAATCGATAATTTATAAATAAACATTATACTACGTTTCCACGACTTCACCGATCGTTATGAAATTTGGTGCGTAAATTCTGTAGGTATGCGAATCGGACGTAAACTATTTCCCGTTCATCTTGAAACGAGATCATCTTGAAAATTAAACGTAACGGTACCTACTTTCTTTCCATCGGTCTGTCTTAGGGGAAACCTATAACTTAGGCGATACGAAGTTCGCCGGGTCAGCTAGTTAATTTATATTATTATCAATTGCATGCACCCCACGTTTTTCGTTTTAAATCTTACAAGTATTTATACTCTCCACATATTTATAAATTATTTTCTACTTTTTAGTGCGTTTAAAAACGTTTTGTTTTAAAAAAAGTTTTTTATTTATAAATTATTGTGGTGTAGGTTGGTAGTAAATTTCCCCGAAAATCCCCCTCTGGCAATCTCAAAATTCTACTTTTTGTCCCGCCTTTTTCCCTCCATTTGGCAATACAATTCCAATGGGACCGGCTATATTCCAAGCAGTGCTGCTATCTGTGAGTGTTTAGCGAACTACGTCGACTCTCGTCTTAAAGCAGGACATCCACGCACGTTATTTGCTATTTGTCAGACCGAAATTGGAAAGCCAGTCACACGCGGCAATCGGGTTTGTTTGACGCTGCGGGCTGCACCGCACTGGGGATACGCCCGCCATTTGACGTGCCGCTGCGAACGTGTTAACTATGAGGCTGAAACCCAGACAAAACAACAACACTTAAATTGGATTGGAAGATTTGGCTCTGCAATGACAGAACTGAGGTTTCATTAACTGTTTCATGTTTTTACTAAGTTTCAAAGGCTTGACATAGGCCATTTTCGGTTGACTGGCATTGTTTGAGCCAAGCTTGTTAAAAAAAAAACTAACTTTCTTAGGCTAACCATTGTATTATCACTTTAAAAAGCAAGCATTCTTACTTGACTCCTTTGCCCACGAGTTTCCATTCCACAGCTCTCAATAACCGCTCTATCTAGGATGTCAGGCACTGATACTAAATGAAATCCTGCCTTTATAAGTTTAGAAACTGAATGCTTGATCATTGCTGATTCTAACTTAGAAAGCTGTTCAACGAAGAAATAGCTCCTATGACCTGTGAATAAGCTTATATCGTTTCTCAACAATTTCATTGAATTTGCGATTTCATGAAAAAGTTTTGGCTTAAAATCAAAATTAATTTTCTTTTCAATTCTTTTTACAACTTTGGGTTCTTCTCCATGGGCCAAGACTGCAGGATGTGTTCGATTGGGAATTTTGAGCATTTCTTTTAACATGTTTGTTTTAGTTAAATTATTTTCATCTTTTAAATAGCTATTGTGCAAATGGAGAACTTTATCAATGTCACCAACACCTTTCCTATTAGTAATATTCTTCATTATTTCATCTCGATTTCTTGAGTCACACAAGTAAGAAAATTCCAACTCTGGTTCAGGAACTTTGAAACTACCGGTACCAATAAATTTATGATGTGACAGAAACGTTTTAAAATTCTTGATTTCAAATAATAAACTTAATGTATTTCTGAAGGGATGGCCAGTTGGCCTAGCTATATAATCACGTAACACATTTCTTGGGCCCATTAGGTGTAGGCCTACTTACTGTAGGTATCTTAATGCCTAGACCAATTTTAATATTTCTGAAACTAAGTTAGTCTAAAAGTGTTAGTAACAAGATAGATAAATAAGGTTTTTTTTTCCTTGTTGGGAGCAAAAAATTGGCACTATCAAACCTGCAGAAAAATTATAGGCCTAATGCTGTCTAATCACTGTAATGAGAACTAACTAGTAACTAACAACCGAACCTCTAAGATTAGACAGACATGTAAACAAAAACAAACGAGAGAGAATACCAACAGTAACAGTAGACAGACAGACCACAGACAAGACTATTGGAGACTATCGATTATTTTCATCTTACTCTTTGTTATAAGGAGCTAGCTAAAATGTCGTGCCATGTAGCTTTAGAACCACTTGATATTACATTGATTATAAAAATTCGATGGTTCTAGTTTGCAATAAAACTACTCAACTGTTGAATTTTTTGTTTTAAAACTATAACTATAACTCAAATGCCATCAAATAGCCCAACGGAAAAAGTATTAATATTATTATTATTATCATCACCAATTAAGATGGGGATTGAACCTACAGTAATAGCTTCTTTCAAATGCAACATTTGCTAAAAATATGTATAAAATAAAACTAATAATATTTACTAATAATACAGTAGTAAAGAAGGATAGATGGACAAAAACTTATAATAAATACTGTACTTTACAATTGTACATGATTTAAACTTCATAATCATTCACTTTCAGGCACTCGTTGCTCGAGCGCAAGCAATTATTGTCAAGTACCGGTATTACAGGAGCTATTTTAAGACTTAACAGTCATAATTTTAAATTAATTAAAAATACTCACCTAAAAGCTTATAACTAATGGAATTACTTACTGTGTTAGGAACAGTTCGGTATAATACAAGTTTCTTGTAAATATTTTAAATTTTTTTAGAAGATTGCCTTTTTTAGTGTTTTCTACAAACGTTTCCCAACTTATACCCATAGCCACATAAATACTTTAGTACTTTCTTATTAAATGGCAACCATACAAAGTAGGTATTTTAAGACAAGTATGAATAAATGTTAAATGTGCATATGCATTTTCGCTAATGATAATGCAGCCTGCATGGTACCACCATTAACGCGAGTATAGTTGAGGGTTTCAGTCATTTTTTAAAAATAGCCTCCAATATTATTCTCTATTCTCAGGTACTACCCGATGTCGAAGCCGGGCATAGCGCCTAGAGTTTCACGAACGCAAACCGCGCAACTTGTAGCTAAATGAGCTGTAGTGTAAAGCTACGTTTCCATTCCTACAAGTCGCGCGTAGTTTGCCATGCCGTTTCCATTCCAGGCACAAATCCCGCGACTACAACTGGCAGACAAGGTAGTTGCTCTCATTGTAATGTAGTGTAGGTTCTGTGGCTGATTTTGGTTATATTGTGTTCAACAAATCCCCATGGATGACATAACAGCATCTGTTTTTTTTATTTATGGCTGGTGAATACTATGAACTTAGAAGAAAAAGAATAAAACGGCCTAGATGGTGGATAAGATCTTTTTGACTAAAAGATCATTGGAAGGCGCATTAATTGATGAGAGATTTGTGTGTACAAAAGTGGTTTTGAAAATTTCCTCCAACGAACTCGAACGAAATTTTAAGTTATGATTACCTGTCATCTATGAGCATGCGGTAGTTCGGAGGACCTGCGCATGCGCGAGTTGCAGGCACATGTGCCCGGCCGTTTCCATTCCAACTGGGCACATGTGCCCACAGGGGCGTCATTTGGGGGGGGGGCACTTGCCCCCCCCTGGTTCCTGGGTGAGAGAAAAATATATGCTGTACTAGCTAATATACAAATATTTTCTCCTATCGAATCCTGAAAAGCACGGCAGACCAAAATCTGCCTATATTCTTCTACAGTAATTTGAAACAAAAATATTATTTTTTAGTGGCTCAGTACCACATTAAAATTAATTGTGTCAAATTATTTTATTGATAATAAATTTTATTTGCTTTTAAGTACTTAAATACTTGTGTTTTATTTAAAAACCAAATCAAACTGTTATAAACTATAGGCTATGAATACAACCGTATTCATTGCTATAGGTCTAAATATTGTACAAGAGAAATTGGTCATAAATCTAATAAAATAAAAATGTAATACACCATGGAACTATTGAATACTAACTCTTACCAACATATTATTATATTTCTGTATAATAATTGTCAATAATTGTTGGTTTCATTAATTTTCTAATTAAATAAATTTAACTCATAATTTGGTTTTATTCGAAGTGCTTTTGACAATTAAAATAAGCTTAAACCCCTTTTTTGTTTCAAAACTGCAAAATTTTCCGGGGGAGGAACCCCGGACCCCCCCCCCCCGTTTGCTGGGGGGTATTCCATAACCCGGTGTTTGCAAGGATTCGGTGAAATGACACCACTGTGTGCCCGCGACCCGGGCACATGTTTTGTCGCACAGTCGGCTGGCATAAATTTGTGCCTGGCACTTGTGCCGCGACTTGTGCCAGGCTGTTCCCATTCCTACGTGCCCGGCACAAATTTGTAGGAATGGAAACGTAGCTTTAGTGAGCCATCTAATATTTAACCGCAGGCTCGTGGCTCATAGTCACTATGATCTGTAGAGTAAGTGAACCTTCCTACTGTATTTTTAAATATAAGACACGAGGCTCATAGGCACTATGATCTGTAGGGTAAGTAAACCCTCTTAATTTATTTTATATTTTCGATGTAGTACAAGTGAACCTTCTATTATATATACTATTTATAATATTATTTACAAAGCTCGTATAGACTATGATCTGTAGATTAAGTGAACTGTCCCCAACTTAAGCAGTGTTCCAAACAAGTCAGCATTCACGAGGGAAAACCTCTAGTTGGTTACCATGGCAACGGAGCAAGTTGAATACAAACAAACGTCTTATCAGTTCTCACCTAGGGGTTTTATTTAGAAAGAAGTAAGTTGTTTAGTTATCCACATGAGTTTTTAAAAGTAGTTCTTAAGTAGTGGATTTCAGACAAACGATTAATTATTCAAGAACACTGTTCATTAAAAACTATAAATAGTAGTTGGCATAATGTTCTAAAAACCATCACTTATTCCCTTATTCTCATTCATGAAAATGCAATTTTTAATAATCCTATTAGATGTGTTTCCCTTCAGTGAGAAGTAAACCCTACTTTCTTTAGGTAGTTTACTCATAAGGGAGTTTTGTACCGGTACAAATATACATTTAAAGGAGGCCTACTAACTAATTCGTCATTACATAGTGACTAGTGAGTGAAGATTTAAAAACGTACGTTTTCAAGACAAGCACTTTATAATTTTTTTTTATCTTTAATCAACATTTTTTTAAAATTTTTTTATTTCATTGACATTTTAAGTTTCATATAATGTATATTTCTGCATGAATAATTAGTGTAAAAACAGCGTGAAAGTTGAAAAATGTACGCTAGGGACATGTGATGGTTGTGAATTTAGAGACTTTAAAATAAGAGCAATAATTTAGAGACAAAAAAATACCTAGAACCCATTTAAAACCAAATAAATGTGTGTAGCATGTTGCCCCCGTCCCAAAAATATTAAAACACAATAATATACTACAAATACAGTATCTACGAAGTATAAGGCTAGGGACATTAAAACGTACGTTTCAAAATTTTCACTCTAGTACAGATCTGCTCGCATACCAAGACTTGACCGGTATAATGTGTTTTGTATGTTTGTGTCGGGAAGACTGTGACGCAACCAAGTCTTGTATGGTTTGACAATAACGCTTTGACGTCAAAATGCATATCCTATTCTTTGGAATTACATGGATCACTTGACGATCAAGGTTAATGTAACCTTATTAAACAACAACAGTTTACTTATTTTCCATATGTATAATATGGGAATTTCAAATTCATTTTTTGCATATCCCCGTAACCAATAACCCTAAAAAGACACTTCAATATACTTAATTATTTGTTTCTCGCTTTAAAATGGTTTATAAAGAAATAGGTAAATTTTATGTTTTGAGAGTAAAAAATAAGAAAACCCAATCTTTACCCCATAAAACTCCCATTCCCATGCTGGTCCGATCATGCTGGTTCGCAAACTCATTCAAGTTTATCCCACCTTACACCTTCAAACCAAATTTCTTGAAAATCGGACAAAAAATACTCAAGTTATCGTGTTCACGGACGTATATATAAGTATATATATATATATATAAATTTTAACGACTAGTGTTTTTGGCCTCTAGGGACATCAAAGAAAAAGTATTGTCCCGGGCCCAGGTCTTACCATGCCAACTACGGTAATAGCTACTACTTCCCTATAGGGAAATTCGCTAAAATTACCTGAGGATAACTGAAGACTGTTTCAAAGACATTCTTGGACTTGTTTATCATGTGTTATACATGTAGCCTACGCTTGAGAACATGTTGGTGTCCCCACAGATGAGCAAGCTTGTTCGTGTTGGGGCTCAGGCTCGCCGGGTCCGACAAGCCGAGAGCTGAGCCCAACATGTTCGCCGGTACAAAGCCTCGCAGACCCCATACACGGGGGAGCATGTTCGCTGTCAACACCATCGTGAACCTTGTTAGGGGGTCTTAACATCAATATTTCAACTGTGATAAAAATACATCCTTTTAATTGAGGTTCGTTTTGGGGGAACTTACTCATTAAGACCTATCATTTAAGAATCCATTTGATAGGTGTGCGACTTGTGGTTTTCTCAAAAGTTGATGATCCTTGTTAGTTTAATATAATACTAGTTGCTCTGCCCATGCTTCGCTATGGGGTTAGTTAATACAGAAGAGAATAATGCGGTTTGGAAATCTACTATAATAAACAGTTACAACACACTTATCAGGAATCACAGAGGCAAAGCTTAATCTTATACTTTTTGCTCATTTAAATGAAGATCTCTTATATAAGCTGTGGCAGAATCATCAAACTAATATTTTTTTTTTTTAATTTTAACTGCATGTAATTTTTTATGCATAAGAATCAAAAGTATATATTTAACATTGAAACATTCAATATATTTACATTGAACATTTTTAATCGGCCGACATTTTGAAAATAAACATGCTAAAATTTTTTTTTTCTTTAATTAGTTCTTAAGGTAATAAGGTCTAATAACGGTACCAAATTTCATTGTTTTATAACTAGCCGTTCTTGAATTTAAAATATTTTTGTGAAAAAAAAAACTAAATGTCGGCTATACGAGTAACTTTTGGGTTTTTGAAATTTGGAATATGATATTTTGACTTGTCTATGGTCCAGGAATAATACCTGAAAAAGTTCGTAGTGAGTTCCGGGACGTCCTGTAGATAGATGTATGAATGTGAGATATAATGAAAAATAGTTTTATATTTATGGCAACAATTTTGGCAATTTTCTCTTGTTTTGAGTTTGAACCACAAAACTTGCCAATAACATCTTTGAACTAACAACATTTCTTAAAGTGTTGGTACTGTTGGTGGCTTTGCGATTCGGTTATGAAACATCACAACAATCAAGAATGTTTCAAAACAGGCCTGCTAAATGTGATTGGGTGACGTTACTTGAAATTTGTATTTGAAAGTACCACATTTGAAGGCAAATAGCAGAAATCTACAGGAAATCCGTTAAGTATTTCAAGGCGTATATAGCTATGTTAGCATTGAGTTCTTGACAGTCTTACTCGATTTATTTCTAAATGACATATATTCCTAGCAATGTTGCTATGCACATTATCTCTTACTCGCTGGTTCAAATCCAAGCGAGAAGCGAGATCCTATATACAGACAGACCCAGATGCCATTTATTTTTCATTGGACTATTAATATTAATTAATGATGCTATCTAACAAAAAGGCTGAAGTTAGATAGTAACAAGAGCAGGGTTTGGACCATTCCCTACTAAAACCGTTAAACCCCCAAGGCAGATTACACACTCACACACAAAAAAGTCAAAGAATATAAATACAGTGGAACCTTGATAAGAAGACGCTCGATAACAAGTCGCCCTTGATAACAAGTGTAATTTTCAAATCCCCTAAAAATTATTTTACCCCTAATCACATGTTATTTCAAAACTCGATAAGAAGTCAACCTTGATAACAAGTCTTATTTTACAATCCCCATGAGAGTCTTGTTATCAAGGTTCTACTGTATTTAATATTATTCTTTTAGATGGAGAATTACACAGTAACAGGAAGAATTGGCGAGGGAGCACACGGTCAAGTACTTAAAGGAATACAACTGAAAACCAGAAGAGAAGTTGCTTTAAAAAAGGTCCTACTAAAAAAATTAGATGAAGGGATTCCAAACTCAGTCATTAGGGAGATAAAAACTCTACAAGAAGTAGACTGTAAGTTTGTAAGTACCTAACATAGAAAGGTTATTTTGAATGTAACAATTTGATGTCTAGTAGTAAAACATATACACTATTCTATTATTAACTAAGGTTTTAAAGATGGATTAGTGAAAACCCTCAAAACCTAAGAGTAGTTTTAACGATAGTAAGAATGCAGTCTTCAATTTTCCATTATAGTAACAATAAATAAAATGATAAAAACAAACACTCCAAATTGGAATAACATTTGCTAGCTCTGGCATTAAGCATTTAAATTAAAGTAGATACTGAAGCGCCATAGACGGATGTTTAAGGAAGCAAGACAATGTCATTGGTAAGTGTTAGGGTTTCATCGTTGTTGACACAGTCGTCGCCAGAAGACCACGATTCTACATTAAGTGACCGTGGATGCCTATCCAGGAAGATTTAAGGAAGCAAGTTGAATAGGGTCAGAAAGCAAGATTTTAACAAACCTCTTACTGTACTCAGATTGATAGCAAAATAATGTACAGTGCTGTAGCGTAGAACACATAGTTTTCCTGCCTACGTTGATAAATCCCACCACATGCAATATTTAAACAACCCTAACAAATTTTGACTTGGGGTAGGGAGAGGAACAATAGATGGATTATCAGTAGTAGTACTAGCTCATGCTACAATACGGTTTACAAATCAAAGCATTACAACTTTCTTGAGTAACATATAATCATTGACTTAGTTTTATCAAATATTAATGAATTAAGTCTTTAAAATTAGCAAATCATTATATGCACATTGTAATAGTAATATATAATTTCATAACCAAACTTATCAACATGTTATTTATCTTTACAATATTTTGTTTTTGATGATACAATAAGGTTATGAAGTTGTTGGATTATTTTCCCCACGGGGTTGGCTTCGTGCTGGTGTTTGACATGATGCCGTCTGGGCTCTGGGAGATGATTCATGATGTTGAACATCCTGTCACTGAGCCTCAGATAAAGACATACATGCACATGCTGCTCTCTGGTGTTGACTACCTTCACACTCACAACATCATGCATAGGGTGAGAAACGCTTTTACTCTGACATTAAAAAAATGTGTACTTTTAACAGTTATTTATTGTTCTATTAAGGATTAATTAAATTCTCTTCAAAGCCAGAGAACCTAACTCCTGGTGAGAGAGGATTTGTGATTTTTTATGTAGTTTTTATAGTTTTATTTTGACAATAAGTTAAAATCCATATTTTTTAGCCCCTGAGCTGATCTTTTGATTAATCCTACTAATATTACAAATGAGAAAGTTTGGATGTATGGATGGATGGATGTATGGATGTATGTATGTGTGTATGTTTGTGACAAGTAAACACAAAAAATACTCGTCGGATCGGGCTGAAATTTGGTGTGATGATAGCTCACATTCCCGATTAACATATAGACGCATTCTTATCTCAAAAGTCCTTTCTGACTCCACCCCAGTGGCTCTGGAGTTTCCCATGTTAACTTTCTGACTAATCATATTTCAAAGGAATAAAATAATTTTGTCAGCTGTTTCAACTACACAAGTTGGTTCTATGATATTAAATAGCATTAATAAATTATAAGGTTTACCAACAGGGTGCAGTACTATTATTTTTTTTGCATTTATGACAACATCTAATTTGATCCAACTCACACCAAAAAGCTGTGAAATATAGTAGAATTGCAATAAAAAATTAACTATGGACAAATATCTTAGTGGTTTGGTTTATTGAAATATAATATTGTTCGGGGATGGGGTTTTTAAGTGTCCTCTTCCTCTTCCCGTTGCAAAGCAAAGGTACAACAGCTAGTCATTAAATAAATAGATAGAGTTACCTTCGTCAATCAGCTCAGTAGTGTTACAAATGTTACAGCCCTTTCAGCATCTTAGTGCCATCATCAGACGTTCAGCCTTTATGGTGGTGTCAATGTATAAAGACACAAACTGTCACACGTGACGTACACATATATAAACATAAACGGGGGTTTTTAACAAAACAGGCCTGTTCAACACACATATCCTCACTCGAGCAAGTGGATAACTGGTCCCCAGTCAGCTACTTGCTCGAGTGTGTATATGTGTGTTGAACAGGCCCATTTATGTTTATGTATGTGTACGTCGCGTGTGATAGTTTGTGTCTTTGTATATTAACAACACCATAAAGGCTAAACGTCTGATGATGGCACGAGGATGCTGAAACGGCCGTAACATTTGTAACACTACTATGAGCTGATTGACTCTACTTAACTCTACTTACGTAACTCTACTTATTTAATGATTTAGTTGACAATAAGGTAAAGCTTGGTTTTTATAGTTATAATTTTAATAAAAATAATTTATTCCATCATTATTTATATATTAACACAAAACCTAACTTCTTAGAAGAACAGACTTCTGTTTGGGGTCCAAGGATCCAATAATTCTGCCAACTTCCATCTGAGCCATCCACTATTTAGGTGGGCATCTACCACCAAGCCCAACCAAAGAGTTTGTTGGCTAAATCAAATATGGCGATATTAACTTTTGATATTGTATGATTTATGTAGGATCTGAAGCCAGCTAACCTGTTAGTGAGCAGTGAGGGTGTGCTGCACATAGCTGACCTGGGCCTGGGGCGAGTGGTGTGTCCAGGACGACCCTACACTCACCAGGTCGCTACCAGGTGGTACAGAGCTCCTGAGCTGTTGTATGGAGCTCGACACTACACGGGTGCTGTGGACTTGTGGGCAGTCGGTTGTATTATAGCAGAGATGTACAATAAGTCTCCACTATTCCCGGTAATTCTTCTCTAAGTAGTTCCATATCTAAATTATTGATACCCAACAAGTAATTTGTTTTTTGTAAAATATTTGCACAAGTCAGTAGCGTTTATTCAATCATATGTATGATAGATTAACGTAGTTACCTCAAAACAAATTTATTCAGTATTGCTTGTTCTATCCAACGAAATTCGCTGTGTAAAACAATCAGAATTAGAAATGAATTTAGACAAATCTTGAATGCTCTTTTTAATAGTCCATAAAGGGTTTTCAGTTTTACTTGTAGCTGTGGTTGGATGGTTAGGTGTGTTGCTAGCCTAGTGGTTAGTATCTTTTGTACTCCAATTCGGGAGGGGCGGGCTTCGGCACATCCACAAAACATATTGGTTTGGATCGCTTGCTCTAATAGCGTTTGAGTACTCTATACAACACCTCCAGTAAAGATGTCACCAACATAGACACAAAAAAAAGAAAAGAACTTCTTGAACATGCTATAATAACTTTGAAAAATTGTCCTTCAATTAGTTTCAGGATTTAAAAAAGTTTGCTGTCTAATGAAAAGTATTTTCTCTTGATATAATTAACTTTTTACTTTCTCCCCCTATACCATAATAGTATATGGAGAAAGTATTGTTTTCGTAAAAATTTTTGAGTTTGAGTTTTGAGTGGATATATTCGTTTTAGGCCCCCTTGGACCCAAAAAAGTGGTTTTCGAAGTGATGTCTGTGTGTGTGTGTGTCTGGATGTGTACAGAGCTAGGGACTACACCTGTGGTCCGATTTCGATTAAATTTGGTATGTAGGGTCTAATCTATGGTATCTCCAGGCCTTTTTTTCATTTTTTTGAAATTTTGATTTTTAATGGGGATTTTCCCATAAAAACCCATAAAAAACCGGAAAAATTAGATTTTTTCAAAAATGGCCTGAACGATTTTGATAAAAATTTAGTATGTTGTAGCCCTTTAAATTCTGGAAAAAATTTTAAAAAATCCCATTTCTGTAAAAATTACGGTTCAAAAGTTATGGTAAATTATGTTATTTTCCCATAAAAACCCCATAAAATAACAAAAAATAGGATTTTAGACAAAATCCGGTTTTGATTTAACATAGTATGTTATGGTCCTGACAATTTTGATAGTTTTTTTCATTTTTTAGAAATTTTTATTTTTAATGGGGATTTTTCCATAAACCCCCATAAAATAACGGAAAAATAGGATTTTCCCAAAAATGGCCCGAACGATTTTGATAAAAAATTAGTACCTATGTTATAGTCCTTTATATTCTGAACAAAATGGTACAAATGCTATTTCTGTAAAAATTACGGTTCAAAAGTTATTGTAAATTATGTTATTTTCCCATAAAACAACAGAAAAATCAGATTTTCCCAAAAATGGCTCGAACAATTTTGATGAAAATTTATTATGTTATAGTCCTTTAAATTCTGAACAAAATTGTTCAAATCCCATTTCCGTATATTTACTCTCACCGCTTACACATTATGAAGGTGGTTGACAAACTTATGGGAGAAAGTATGTGTCAGAATGCTGATACCGTTTATTTGATCTAAGTTCATTTTATTCTTTGGATTGTATAAAAATATTTTTGATTTAAATCCTTAGATAAGCAAATATGCTCATTTTGTACAGAACTTAGAACTAACTGATGTTAGTACTTCACTCAAAACAATTACAAGACATAACTTGCTATTACCAGGCTTTGTCAACGAACACAACAGTGAAACTTTTCAAATTCTTGATGAACGGCTTTCTATAAAATCAAGTGTACTGTATTGTTTCATATCAGAGTACCTAATGTTTGTCAGATAAGCAGACTACTTTAACTTAGGTGGGTTCAGAACAACCAGACTCCACCCTTGTTTGGTTTACCGATAAGCTAACTCTTCAATAAATACAGATAAATTCAAGCATAGCAATAGTTTTGGGTAGGGTACAAGGTATTGAAATCTTAAATGTTTAATAACATTGTTTTCATGTATCGCCTTGTAGGGAGAAAGTGACATAGAACAACTGGCACTGGTAATTAGAGGACTTGGTACTCCCAGTTGGCGAGGCATCACTTCTTTGCCGGACTACAACAAGATCTCCTTTCCTGCTGCAAGACCTCAGCCCTGGGACTGTTTACTGCCTGATGTTGAGCCCCAGACTGTGCTGATAGTCAGTTCTCTAGTGACTCATGACCCTGCCTCCAGGCTCACTGCACGACAGGTTGTTACTAAAATCAGCTAGGTCCACGACGGTATAAGCACGACCATATAAATGAGGAGGCCCCTAACAGTTCAAGAATAAAAGCCAACTTCACTTCAAGTATATTCCAATTCCACTACACCTAACATTCCGTAGAGAGATTGTATTGACAACTTTATGTAATTGATAAGGCTGAGACAACTAACTGACATCCCCCATGTCTAGGAATTCCAGCTTTAACAGTAACCCCACAACCAATTTCTCAAAACTGTGCTAGAGGGTTATTCATTGGCCCAGAAGTACGATATGAACTGACACGACGTGATGAAGGAAAAATCTAACTTACACTGTAACGTATATACCTCCCTTTGAAGTTAGAACGTGTCTTCCCAACAAACAGATATATATATTTTTTTCAAATAAAATCATAGATTAATCTGCATTATACTGATGAAATCACAAAAGTGTTTAACTTCAAAAGATCCACCAATACGATTTTAATACTATTTAAAGGGTCTTCCAAAGGAAAAGATACCAGATGACATACTATCTCCAATGACGTACGGTATGGGGAATATTTTATTCATTGAATGATCAATCATATTTGGTAACTAACACAATTAATATCATTATTGTTTTTACACATATTAACCTTTAAACAATGCTAAATGCTCAAAATATGTATAATTTCACTCAATTTATTGCAGTTAGATGAATTAGCGTAAGCCTTGAAAGTAACCGTCAATTTTGACGGGTTTCACCTAGTTGACTCTAAAACTCATAAATACAGTATCAAATTAAATTGAGACAGAATAGATAACTATAGTTCGGCCGCTTAGAAAGCGACTAATGCTAAACCAATGCTAGAGGAGGTTGCTTTCTAAGCGGCCGATCTATAGTGTTTAATTGAACCAAGGAAAAACACAAAAGTAATAATCAAATATAGAAACATAAACATATGACTTAAATAAAAATAATAGTCACATGCTTGTTTATACAGGGCGAGTCTTCTAAGCTGTCCTAAACAGATTTCAGACGAATGGCTTGACATACAGAGATGAAACAAAACTTTTCCCTACTAATTCATACCCAAGGAACAACGTAAAAATGTTTTTACCATTTTTAAAATACAGGGTGTTCAAGAAACTGGGGGTCATGGGTTCGAATCTCAGAGTTTTCAAATGTAAACATATGTCATGTTAAGCATCATTTTAAAGCTCTAGACTAGACAAACAATTTAGTGAAAACAGAACTCATTTATCTTTGTCCGTTTCAAAATGGCGGCCATTTTTATAGAAAATATTGATACTTACAGAATACCCTGTATCTTGAAAACCACTAAACTTATTTTCGTTCTGTTTGAAAATTCTTAATCCTCGTAGGTTCAGCTTTAATTTGATATACGACAAGTCAACATTTTAAAAACTAAATATTTTTTCTATGATTTTAATTTTTTTTTAAGTTGGTACCCTTGTAAATGAAAATTTTTAAATAGCAACATATGTAAAATTGTGTATAATTTTGAAGGTTTTGTAAAAACAAACAACTTTTAAATTTAAACCTACCGTCTATCTTTGGTCGTTTTCTAGTAATTAACCAAAAACTCCAATTGCCCATATAAAACTCATGTTAAACGCGCAGTACCATGGGAATAGTGTATCTGCATCCACTAATCTTCAGTACTGCACGTTTAACATGGGTTTTATATGGGCAATTGGAGTTTTTGGTTAATTACTAGAAAACGACCAAAGATAGACGGTAGGTTTAAATTTAAAAGTTGTTTGTTTTTACAAGACCTTCAAAATTATACACAATAATTTTACATATGTTGCTATTTAAAAATTTTCATTTACAAGGGTACCAACTTAAAAAAAAATTAAAATCATAGAAAAAATATTTAGTTTTTAAAATGTTGACTTGTCGTATATCAAATTAAAGCTGAACCTACGAGGATTAAGAATATTCAAACAGAACGAAAATAAGTTTAGTGGTTTTCAAGATACAGGGTATTCTGTAAGTATCAATATTTTCTATAAAAATAGCCGCCATTTTGAAACGGACAAAGATGACCCCCAGTTTCTTGAACACCCTGTATTTTAAAAATGGTAAAAACATTTTTACGTTGTTCCTTGGGTATGAATTAGTAGGGAAAAGTTTTGTTTCATCTCTGTATGTCAAGCCATTCGTCTGAAATCTGTTTAGGACAGCTTAGAAGACTCACCCTGTATACAGATCATCATGAGTGAAACTCCAACACTATAACACTATAAGGTATAAAAATAATGTTATTGATATATTTTCATGTAAACAGTAGGACAATTACAATGTAGGTATGCTTTTTTGTTTAAATTTGATGGCTTTTTGTTTATAAGTTCAAACTACTTAACAAGTGTTTGGATTAGGCGGTATAGTACATCTTCCCGTTGCGAAGCACGGGTACATATATATAGTGAGCAGCTAGTTGTATATATAAAAGGAAAAACTTTATCACTTGGCAAAAAAGTTTCTCTTTATTGTTTCACCCTTTTAAGCATTACAAAACACTTTTTTATGGTTGGTTTTGATGCTGACATTATCTAATCCGTTGAACTTTTTATGAGTCTTGAGTTTGTTATACATATTTTTAGTTGTTCTGTACAACAGGCTCTGCAACACTCCTACTTCCACTCACGTCCATTCCCTTGTCCGGCTGGTGAGATGCCTTGTCCCCCACAGGACCATCGCCAGAGGCTCAAATTGGGGGAACTGCGAGTGGACAAACCTCCCTCAGAACTGTTCAGTGACCTCGACACATTGGTTAATGATGAACAGTACCTAAGGTCAATAACAAAATGTTAATTGTTCATGATATATTGATAATCAATATTGAACTGTGACTAAATAATCATGCTCAATTGCTTTTAACAATTTTTATTAATTTTAAAACATGGCATTAAAATGTATTGTAAGTTTACTACTACTAACCTGTTGTGACTGATAATTAATTTGTAAAGTTTTGATTTAATTATTGCAAAATGTGGTGAAGATGGAAAACTACTTGTTTTTAACTACAAATATACTAATCAAGTTATTCATAGATAGAAGGAAATGCATATAAAATATATTTTACTGTAAGATTTTTGTTAATAGATAAGAATTAAAAAAATATGTTTATTAAATAATTAAAATCTATATTTATTTTATTTATTTACAGAATCACAATCTATATCTATAAAAGAGGAAGTATCTGTGTATGTATGTGTATGTATATATATACCCTATGGACTCAGAAACCGCTCGATAGATTGTAATGAAACTTTCAGACATTATTAAGGTTATGAAGAATGGTTTGTGTGAAGTTTGGTGCAGATCCGTCAAAAGCGCTCCGCGCCAGTGGGTTTTAAGGGGTTCAATGTCAGACTTTTGGAACTACAATGTTTACAAATAAATATAATTTAAAAGCAGATGTTTAATTTCACTAACTGTTTTGTAAGTTTATTAGTCATGATTTGAAATAGTGCCACACAGTTTCCACAGAATGCAGCACAGAAAACTATTTTACTTTTGGATAAGTCCAAATATATTAAACAGCAATCACAGCACACCTTTGCACTCAACAACGTTTAAATTCTCCACTATTAAATATGTAAACATAAAAAGTAAAAACCTTTATAAAAGTTTATAAAAGGCATTGCCACCCCTTTTATTGTTTATAGTAATACACAATAAAAGGGATGGCAATGCTTCATTCACCAGTCACGGTTTATCCCATCCTTAGTTCGAGCACAAAATCCAGTTATAACCAACGCTGCGGCTTAGAAATCAGGTTCACGAGTACGAGGTTATCCATGCTCGGGTGCAGACAGATAAACTTCATCCAATTATGACAAGGATAAACCCGAGCGCAAAAAGTTGGGTTCATGAGTTCAATTAGAGAAAACCCCGGGCCAAATGTCGGGTTCACGAGTCATGTTCTAGCGCAAATAGGATGATCTCGGGCGTAAATAACAATGGTTTTAGGCTTTAACTTAAACCCTGCCCCCGTTAAGTTGACATCATGTCGGGATTATTTAATTCGCTCGTTTATTGTATTTTTGTTATTAAAACGAATGTTATATTCGAATACGAGGTACTGATTTTTGAAAACATACACAACATTGTAAAAATTTGCTGTTGAGGCATTTTAATTAATTAACTACTAAATAAAAATATAACTAATTGGTTAACATATTCATATAAATTTAAATTGCAATAGAATTTTATTACGTAACTGTTTTATATTTACTTTAGTACTTTTGAACACTTTTATTTCAGCTGAATAATTGCAAAATAAAAATGGTTCCATCAAACACTAGGTTTGTCTAAGTATTTTTATCGTATAATTAATATAGAATATTGGTCATTTTATTTAAGAATCCACATTTAATTTTGTAGGTTTTAAATTATATGTTTATATTAATATGTTTATGATTTAACAGTTAGTTGTTAAAGACCTTTTCATCTGATGATTTCTTAATATTTCTCATATAGAGTTTTACAATAAATTGCTTCAATTTGTTGAGGTAAAAGATAAATTCTATAGTTAAATATACAAAACGTTGTATTACAACAAAATTTTTGTTTAAATTATAACCTGTTTTCTTACACCTAAGATCTCTCATGCTTAAGGCTGCGCTCTACCCGTCTGGCGCGCGCAAATGCAAGGGTTTTAATTCTTACTGTTTGTAGCCCCGCTTTTTAAAAGTTTTATATTTAAAAAAATGTTGGGCTCGAACGTTGGTAAAAATGTTAATATATGCATTTTTTATCATAGGTTTTCATGCATACAAATAATTTTTAGAGAAAAAATAACAAACGGAGGAAGTGCAATAGATTCATAAGAAGAAGAATCTGCAGTTAGTGTAATTAAAACTTAAAGGATAACGATGTTATCTCCCAGATTTGAAAGGTTTGCCATCACTCTTCATTGCGCTGTTCAGTGCAATGGTATAGGGACATCGGCTTTCAGCAACCTCCTATTGAGAAATCCGAGCTGAGGTAGAGCACACCCTTAACAGTCAGAGTAAACCCAGTGAAATCAAGTGTAGCTACATGCTGAGGTATTGAAAAGAGCGCAAACTAATGAAATATTCTAATATCACTTATACTAATGTTCAATAAAAAATAATCTATGGCTATACTATGATTGCTGAGCGAAAGCGGCTGGCTGAGGGGTCAACCCTACTCACACACAGACGCAAGGGATTAGGACGGACCATTGACCTGACACGTGAGTCATCGCTGGCTCACGGAAATTTAACTATACATGTGTTAATTTTACCTTTGTTATAAATAGTCCAGGAAACGAAAGGATATAGAGGGAAATGTTTGGAACACAATTTCTGACTTCGTAACTTTGTTTAGTATAGTTAGGAGGTTAACATATCAAAAGTCCCCGCCTCTAGCCCTTGTGCTGTGGGGGAGGGGGGGGGCTTGATGGTACCATTTTTTGGTTTTACTATAAAGGAAAAATAGTAAATTACAAACTTGCTGGAAATGTAATAAGCTTTCATTTTGTATATTAGCATAATTTCGCTTGCATGGTTTCCGAGATATCAGCAAAAAACAGAAAAATGGTACCTTCAAGCCCCCCCCCCTCTCCCACAACACAAGGGCTAGAGGCGGGGACTTTTGATATATTAACCTCCCAGTGTTGGGAAGTAGCGCGCTACAAGTAGCGACGCTACAGTAGCGTGCTACTTTTTTTGTAGCGTTAGCTGTAGCTACGCTACTTTTAAGATTTTGTAGCTTTAGCTGTAGCTAACTACATTTTTAAAGTAGTTGTAGCGGAATTTTAGCTACTTTTCTCGCTACATTAACATTGTTAATGGGAGAAGGGATGAGGACAGGGACAGGGATGAGGAGAGGGGATGACATTTCCCTAGCGAACACGTTTTACATCAGCTCTATTTTAACCTTATATTTCTATGGTATTTCTTTAACGTTCCAAAAATATTTTTACACCATTTTTTAAAGTACTTTATGCTGTTCAAAGTGATATCATCAATTTTTCTATAAGTGCCGACGCGTGTGAAATAATTGACAATAACTTATTTTTCTTTCATGAAAAGATCACCGCTTGGATTACGGTCGGGTTCGAAGGGCAAACCGGTTGAGTTATCTGCAACTGATAAACGAGGCCTACAGCGATCGGTTTCTGTGTCGTCTGCTCTAAGTCCCACAGCCAAGACAACAATGCCTGATGCAAACAAGACCATTGACCCGGCTTTAGTCAAAAGTGCTGTCGAATCACACCTGACCAGCGAAGATGTGATATCGGGACTTGTCGCTCGTTTGACTGAAGAACTTAAGTCAGTAATCGAGAATGCTGTTATTTCTGCATTAAAGCCGATGAGTGATGAGATCTCGAGACTTAAGAACGACGTGATCGACCTCAGGACGAAGCTACGGGAGCTCGACAACAACATCGCCGACCGAACTGACGAACTCGAGCAATACCAGCGCCGAAACAACCTGAGAATCTTCGGGATCAGCGAGACAGCAGCCGAGGACACAGACGCGCTGGTAGTACAGCTGTGCCGTGAGAAACTTGGCATCGAGTTACCGTCTGACGCCATCTGTAGGAGCCATCGCGTTGGGAAGCAGCCGTCACCTGATAAAGAAGGAAGGAGTAGACCACGGGCCATCATCGTTCGTTTCGTGGGCTACAAACACCGCCAACAAATATATTCGGTGAAAAAGAAGCTTAAAGGGACTGGCGTGACTGTTCGGGAGGATTTGACGTCGCGACGGATGGACGTGTTGAAGGCGGCGGTGGCGAAGCACGGAACAGCGAATACTTGGACAATGGACGGTCGAGTGCTGTGGATCGACAGTCGCGGCAAGAAAGGTGTCGCGACGCGGTTGGAGGAGGTGGTGACAGCAGGGAACAGCACGAGTGACCAGTAAATATGCATCTCTTTATTGCATTTTATTAGGCTATAACTTTTATCATTACACTTTTATTTTTGTTTGGCTTTTATTACGTATTGATTATTTTATTTTGTAATTTCAAGATCAATTAATATCAGTAATATTATGGTCTATTATTAGATCACCAACAAACGTATAGGCAATTGACCAGTTTTAACTACTTATTGTTGTAAACTCAATAATTATCACATTAAATAAATTTGCATGTTAAATTCAGTAGTTTTGTTTCAATTAATGTTATACTAGCCTAAACATAATTTGATTAGTAGCTCGATTTATAAAATATTTACAATTTAAAATCATACTGCAATTAAAAGTAATTTATTTGAAAAAACTATTAATTTTTCTATCTTAATATCATTGTGCAATTAAAAAGATTTAAATAGTTTTAAGAAGTAGGCCTATTTAGTAAATTGTTGTTAAATTATTAATGTATCTTATAATTTATATCCAAATTTATTATGATATCAAACTTGTAGAATAATTAATTATCAGTTTTATTAAGCAGTTAATTAGGCTACTTACAGTATTGTATAAACTAAATCAAAGAATCATTTTGAAAGCTGTGTGACCTAAATGGTATTATTAACAATTAAAGAGATTGAACCTTATGGAAGCATGTCATTGAATTATAAATGTATTGCATCATTCATATCAAAATTTATCAAACTATATTTAATGTTTACTTATGTACCTATATTTAGTTTATTTTGGGTGTATTTTAGAATTATGCTATTTATGTATGCTGATGTTTTCCGTATAAGAATGTTAATTTTTTATTTTGCTAGGAAAATATTAAGATGCCATTGTCTAGGCATAGTGAGTGTATGTGTGTGCGAATGTTGTATGCTTGTGTCGCCTGCTTCCCGGCCTCCTTTGTCATGTGCCACTTGTTGCCTGCTCATCAATGCTTATCAGTCCAGTAACTGATAACGCTGCCCCGACCCTGCTCGGTCCCTCTCTCTCTCCGCCGTTATCTCAGCTTCTCTGCCAAACCCTATCTCCATTCCCCAACTTCTTAAAGGCAGCTCATGTAAATGCACAATCTCTTTTTTGTCACATAGACGAATTTCGTACAATCTTTCAGGATTCCTCAATAGATTTGATTTTAATTTC